GTTTACTTCCTGATAAAGATGGTAGAATGATTACAGACCATGACTTTCATAATGAAATGAACAACAAACATTAGTAAAAATGGCAAAAACTTCCCCAGCAGCCACCAAACTGGAAAGGGACCACTTTTTGCCACAAACTCTAAAACAAGCAGTTAAGGAAAGAATAACTTTCTGGAGTCACTAGGGAGTAGCAGGAATGTGGAAAAAGCAAAGTAAAAAAAATCCTGATGGATTTCCCTCATATCAATTTGGGAATTACTAGGGAATATATAGTTTGGGGAAAAAACTCTTGTTTAAAGCAGAACTTCTACTCAAGACCATACTCTTCCAGCAGAGGTGGGATAACCCATCCGTTTACACTTTTCAGGGCTCCATGAGCTGAGGAAAGGGTATCCTCATAAAAATCAGATTCACCTTTAGCCAGCAAAGATGATTCCTAGACATGGTTACTTTGCAAAATCCTGAAAGCATAGCCCAGTTCTACAAATTTAAGATGCACAAAAGCCCAGCTTCCCATATTACTGAAAACTAACTCTACCAATCCTGTAAAGTGAAACTAAGAAAATGAAAAGAGGGTGTTACAGAGAATTCATCATGTCAGCATATCAAGGCTATACTAAATAGTAAGAATAATCATCAGGAGATGCATGGGGAAACTACAGACCCCTCCTTTGTTTTGCTAGATTGAGACAATGTTAGCTTGAGTTATGCCCAAATTTTCAAAAAAACTTTATTTTCATACAGTCAAATGTACAGGTATAAAGCAGTTTAATAAATGTTGATAAACCTTATTTTTGTAATCAAAATCCCCATCAAGACACAAAAGTGTTTTGTTGATATAAACAAAAAATTAGTAAAATTAGACTGTCATATCATACCAGCAAGAACATATCTCATTTAATATACTTGGCTATACTTGATAAATAGGAAAAAAATTAACAAAAAACACAGTGAGAAGTAAAAACTGAAATGCCTTACAAGGGCAGCAGGTAAGCAAAATTATCAAAACTAAACTGATCTAAATACATATATATACACGGACTTAGTGAGAGAAATGAGCCCGTATTTGTCAAACAGCATGATACTCAGCCTGATATTCAGCTGACTGTTGCCAGGTAGAAATGAAGGCTCAGCTTTCAATATTTCAGGAGACACCAGAAATGTTTTTCTTGTATTTAAAAAAAATTTTGGCTCTAATTTTTAAATTATGTAGGTCTAGCAAAACATTTATGGGTGAGATTTTGTTTCCTAGTCACCAATTTATAATCTTTGCCACTGAGGTTTGAAATTTAGGTGATTACCAGAGGTATGAACTGGGGTTGAATATCAGAGAAGCTAGTGAGGACAATGATGAAAGTGGGTTAGGAAAGAAATGACTATAAGCCTATCATTTCTCCAGCTGCAAGGGTCATGATGAATATAAACAAGTCACTGTAGACATGCAAGCCCTGATTTGGGAGACCTTAAGGTTGCTTCAGTGGCTTTCTGCCCCCAGCTGCCCCACAAAACCCAACTTTTTTTTTTTTCTGATGAAGGTTATAGACAGGAAATCAGCAACAGAAGTTCTAAACCAGCATGGTCCAATACGGTAGCTACCAGCTGCACACACCTACTGAGAACTTAAAATGCAGCTGGCATAGGTGCCGTGGCTCACACCATAATCCCAGCAATTTGAGAGGGTGAGGCAGGTGAATTACTACATCCCAGTAGTTTGAGATCAGCCTGGCCAAAATGGTGAAACCCCGGTCTCCACAAAAAGTACAAAAATTAGCCGGGTGAGGTAGTGTCTACCTATAGTACCGGCTACTTGGGAGGCAGAGGGAGAAGAATCCCTTGAGCCCAGAATGTTAAAGCTGTAGTGAGCAGGGTTTGTGCCTGGGTCACAAAGACCAACCCTGTCTCAATAAAAAAGAAAATAAATAAATGAATAAACTACCTATAATAACACTATGCTATCTGGCTTTATAAAAGCAGTTCAGAAAATAAAATTTTATTCAACTATGACATTTATACCGGTTTTGTTATATAAACATTTTTAAAACAACATATTTAGCTTTCTTTACCTTTATTAATTTCTCTTGATTTTTACTGCTTGCATTCAGTAGCTCAATGTTCAATTTCTCTTCTAGGAACAAGCACTTTGGCACTTTCCTTGTCTCAAGTGTTTTTTTTTCACTGACAGTCTCTACATCACAATCTTCAATCAATTCTGATTTATTCTTTTGGGTGAGTCCCAGTGATGGCTCATTTTCCATGTACCATTTTCTAAGAGAGGATTTTTTTCTACTAACAAAAAATGCTGCTCCACCCTGGAGTGTAACTTGTGGTTTTATTTTTTGGCTTAGAACCCTAGGAGCATTGGGATTATTTTCAGCTGAATAACAATTATTCTCTTTCTCCACAACTGGCTTACAGACTACTCGATTTTGCTTGGAATTTTTAGGATTCCTTGATACAGGCTTGATGTGTCTATACCTTGGTTGATACTTAGCAGTTAAACTCTTCTGTGGCTTTTTGTTGTTCTTCTTGGGGCAGACTGGTTTTCCCTGCATTTTTTCTGTCACAATGGGAAAAGATTTATCTTCAACATTATTTTTTAGGTAAGTAGATCTACTCTGTTTTATCAGCTTCCTCTCCAATGGATTGAGGTACCACTTATTTTGGTTGTAAAAAGATACAGTGGACACAGCAGATTTAAATGGTGAGCCTTGATTTGCTGATGGCCGTCTATTTATTTCAGATGTTTTGAGTGCACTTAAAACAAAATGCCCTTGTTGAGAGGAATGCAGGTTTTCTTCATTTTTATCACTGTTTTGATAAAAAACAATGCTTTTTATTAGGTGATGGAAACAGATTTTCAGTTAAGAGCAAAAGGCTACAAAAAGAAACAAAGTCCATTGATAAGATTATTTTGCATCAAAATTTACATAAATTTACTAATAAGTAATAAGCTCCACTTACAGGTCATATTAAAGACAACACATGCCCCTCCCAACATATATACAATTTTCTATTAGTTTAACAGAATTCTCAAATTCTATCAAGTAAAACATTCAAATATCTTCCCAAAGAGCCCAATAATGTTCATGAAAACAAATACCACATACAAGGAAGCTCTGATAGACATATATATGCAAATGTGTTTTAATTTTTTTAAGACAGAGTCTCACTCCATCACTCGGGCTGGAGTGCAACAGTGTGGTTTCAGCTCACTGCAACCTCTGCCTCCCCAGGTTTAAGCGATTCTGTGACCCTCAGCCTCCCGAGAAGCTGGGACCACAGGCACATGACACCACAGGCACATGACACCACACCCGGCTAATTTTTGTATTTTTAGTAGAGACGGGATTTCACTATGTAGGCCAGGCTGGTCTCAAATTCCTGACCTCATGATCCACCCACCTTTGCCTTCCAAAGTGCTGGGATTACTGGCGTGAGGCACCCCGCCCAGCTGCGTGTTTCAAAATCTAAATTATAGCTCATTTATTTTGCTCTATTGGCCACACGTCCCCTATAATAATTGCCTGTAATAAACTGACCCCCTGGGGCTTTTCCTGGGTGGAATAATATCCGAGTGCACAGACTTTCTAGAATTGTTTACAGACAAGCATCTACTGTATACAAAACACTGTACACTATTATAGGGGAATAAAAAGGAACAAGGTAATAACCAATCTGGTATACTTCCTAGTCACAGAAAATAGCTTTCTTCAATGTGCTGCTTCTGTCAAAAGAAAAAACTTCGATTCCCTTGAAAAGGACTAATTCATTATGAAAACTTAATGTATTTCCAAACTAGAATTCAAATATAGGTTATCACTGTAGTCGCAAGAAGTAGGCTAGTGGAAGAACAAAAATTTTATAAAATAGAAAGAACAAGAGAGACAAAAAAGTGGATTTTTCTTTAAGAATTTCTATTCATAGGCTGAGATTCATTCACCTGTCACGGTTCAAAAAATCCTGCTTCCTCTTCCTTGGAGTCAGAGCTGCCATCTTCTTTATTGAATTCCTAAAAGAAGTGACAATTTTTACAACCAAATTCATCAAAGCATTAAACATCGCTTTATCAAAATTACACTTTGAAAGTCTGAAAATTATCCAGATGGGTGATGGTCTATACAGATCCAGGTGAAGCGTTTTTTTTTTTAAAAAGCAACTTTCTCTAATAAAAATTTAAACCATGTTTTAAGAAGGGAGAGAGAAAACACTGGGCAAATAAGAACAGAAAATAAAAGTAGGGATCACATCTATGTGTCAAGCTAGAAAATCATCCCAGCATGGGGGAAATAGTTTGTACCCTCTTTCAGGGCAGGCTTTCCCCTTTAATGAGTCTAATTCACACCAAGTGAATCAACACCGCTCTCCTCCCACCCCTCCCGGGCTGCACGCGCTTGTTCTCTGCCTCCATGGCACCCTGTGTTTCCCTAATAGTCCACTTAAGACTTTTTTTTTCTTGTTTCCCCATCTCCACAGCCTGTGCGTCCGACGAAGGCAGAGACCGTTTGTAACTTTTCATCAGAGCCCACCAAGAAAAGCTCTGCCATTGTCCTAGCTGAGGAGCCGGGAGCAAGCCGTCTGCTTCCCTTTTTATAAAAACCTCTTGAAGTCATGGGGCTGCTGAAAACAAATGCAAGGCTGCACGAGCAGGCGGCTGTGTGGCTCGTCAGAGTTCATTTTCTTCCCCTTCCCTGGGATCAGGGAAACTCCCCCGAAAGCGGCACACAAGCCTTATTTCAAAGCTATCGATAAAAGAACACACGGAAAGGCCAGGGGCTGTGGGAATTCAGGTCGAGCTGCGCCTTAGGCAAGGACTCTTCTGGGGCTAAGCCAGGAAAGGCAGGAGAGGAAAGCGTCCCGACCCTGAATCCCGTCAGGCCCAAAACAACAACAACAAACCGGAAACAAGGAAACGCCGGCGTTGGAAGATGGAACCGCGGCGCCTGTGAGCGCGGAGAACGCGTCAGTAGCTTCTTCGCGCTTGGGCCCGCGGACCTGCCGAGCGCGGAGCAAAAGCTCTTTTCCCTTGAGATTCGCTCCCGCGTTCCACAAGGTCTCCCGCCCGCCTCAACCTTCCACAGCCTTGCCTCGACCTACTCCAGAGGTTACATTACCCACGCCTCAGAGATGGGCGAGCTCTTGTCCGCTGAGCCAGCCGCTCTGTGAGCGTCTTCAAATTATCGCGCGCCAGGCTAGGCGGAAGCCGCTGCGTTCCGATTGGCCACGGCTCGGCGCTTCCAGGGGCTGGCTCGATGATTGGTAGAGCACCAGCTCTTACCCCGCCCACCCTGGTGGCTGTTTCCAAGATTCTCGCGCCTTGGGGAGGTGAAAAGTTCTGAGGGAAACCACGCCTCCCACAATCCCCCACAACAACGCCGGGCTCCGTTCCCGGGGCCTTGTTTAGGTGCATTCTGGGAATTGTAGTTCTCGGCCCCGTTGAAGTCGAGGGACCTTCTGGGGTCACTTGGGGTAAGAAGTTTTTGTAGCCGGGCGCGGTGGCTCAAGCCTGTAATCCCAGCACTTTGGGATGCCGAGGCGGGTGGATCACGATGTCAAAAG